AGCTAAACTGCAGTACTTGTGCCAACAAAAATCATTATAGATATGAGCATAGAAAACTCTGAGCAAGAATGGAATGTCTTAAATTTATTCTTGTTATCTTTACTTCTTGTAATTGATTATAGTAGCAAAGAATGTAAGTGATATTTATCCTTTTGATTTTAGACTTAGCCCAGTTTTGAACTGCTGATCTAGTGTTGAAGGCAAATTTCTCCTATCTGTGCATTAGTGGTTCAGATATCTTCCTCTGAGGCAGCTTGTAGCGATCACAGCTGGATTAGATTAATCTTCAGAAGGGCAAGTCATGCAATTTGTAATTACCCAAATGAGACCTCTGCCTAGAGGTTAGGTGAAAATAACCTTTGCTTGTATCATAATGCTTTCTAGTCTTAGCTAATGAGTAGAATTGTACATCGTTGAATTAAACACACTTTTAGGAAGTATTTATATACTAAATAATGCTCAAAAGATAATAGAAGTAATGTGCTAATTAAAAGGAAAACATCTTTTTTACTCTATTGAGAGACTATTAACATCATGTAGGTTATGGGCAAAGATGATCAAGTACATAACATTATATTACATTTCTAAACTAGTATACTACTGGTCTATTTTTGTATGAGATTACACACATCTTAAGGGAGCAGCTGGTATTAACTGCTGTTCTTTAATGAAAACAGGCTGGTGATTTCTGCAGGTGTGGATGAAGGGACTGGAGATTCAGGCAAGTAAGCTTGGTTTGCATATGAAAAAGCAAAAAAATCTAATGACTATTTTTATGTGTATGCGGTGTGTTCTTTGAGAGAAGGAGGTTTCTTTCCCCCCCATAAGGATCTGATGTTATTTGTCTGTTTTCACTTCATGTCACCAGCAATGTAGTAGATGCTATGAGAATCTGAAAGAAAACACTGTGAAGTTGTGCATGTGAAAGAATGGATTCTGCCTGCACATTTCAGTCCTACTTTGCAAGGGGAGTTTCAGGAGAGCGCAATTATTCCCAGCTCCTTGCAAGCCCTAGAGAGGGAGTATGCTTTACAACAGTGTGAGAAGCCATCCATCTGCCTTGACTGCTAGTGCTAGTAGTGCAGTTTAGCTCAGGGACCAGATTTCTGAATACACAGCAGTACAATTTGAATATCCAGGATATGGCAAATAACAGGTACTGCTGCTCTTCTTTCACTTTTCTTCTAGGAAGGCTTGATTTGCCTGATTTCCTAATCACTTAAAGAGCTGTAAGGAAGATAGTTCCTGAAAGAGACTCTTTGTCTGAACCCCAGGCCAGACTTTGTCTGTGTTTACTCACTCCAGCTCTAGGTGCTATAGTTTCTACTGGCAGTGGGAGCAAGGAAAGGTGCTTTGTTCCTGTGACATTTCTGTCACTGGGATTCCATAAGGAGCACGCTGTCAGTATGACTGGATATGAAACAAGTTAGATATTTTCTTATTATTTGTGAAACTGTGCTTTATTTGCCAATTAATAGTAGGGTTCTTTGCACTATGAATTGTTGGATAAGTGATTTCTGTGCATCCAGAATGATATTTGTCCTCTCTCTGAATTTACAAGAGTGGCCATTAATACTGTAATACGCAGTAATGGATGAGCAAATAAGATAATATTATATTTGTGAAAGTTCATATGTTATTTGAGAGGTGTGGACAGTTTCATTTTAGGAAAACAAGGCATGTAGGAGAACATGATACAGATCAAGAAATCTATAGAACATAATTTTAGTATTTCTATCTCCTGTTCATAGGATAATTTAGGTTGGAAAATACCTTTACAATTAAAGTTCATTTTCCCCAGATTTTACATCAAATTAAAGGCTATAAAGGTATCAGGAAGTATAGTATACATAGATACATGTTTATATATTTATATCTAATATATGAAAAATTCTTTGTATGTATATATAAAATCTATGTATGTATACAGATGTGAAAAAATCTCCAAAATGCATTCTTATGTGGTTATCCATGGGTATTCAAGGACAATTTGATCTTTTGAGGTCCCTTCCAATCTCTAACATACTGTGATACTGTGATACTGTGAATTTATTTTACCATTGCATGCTGTCTTACAGAACACTGTCAAATAATATTTTGCAGGAGCAAATACTGAAAACTAATAAATAAAACTAATTTAGAGTCTACCAGAGAAGAACATGTTTTTGGTAGAGAGGGAAATCACTGAAATATTTCATGTCTATCATCAGGATGCTTGAGATTTTCAGTGGTAAGGCTGTAAGATTTCTGAGAAGCAGCATAGAAAATCCTTTCCCAGAGGCTTGGAGCCTGATTCTAATTATGTTCTTGAGTTGATCTGATCCACCTCTCAATTTTATTTATTTGGTCTTTTTCTCCATGTTTCTGGAAGATGCCAAGATAATGAAACTCAGTTGGGTGAATGGTTTCTGTGAATACTGTATATTCCTATCATTTTCCTTTGCCATTTTCCTCAGACAAATTGAGACTTTCTCTGAAGATTATCTTTTGCACTGGATGTTATAGTCTGGTTTTGATGTCAATACAGGATGCTAATCAGAGTGAAATCATTTGGGCTTGTAATGGCTGTTAAAATCCACAGAATATAATTAAAATGTTTTACTGTGTATGTAAAACAGCTTAATTAAGCTAATATAGAGGACTGGAGCACCTTTCCTATGAAACCAGGGTGAGACAGTTGGGCTTGTTCAATCTGGAGAAGGTTCCAGGAAAACCTTCTCTTTAGGCGGATTCCAGTGCCTGAAGGGGCCAACTAGAAACCTGGAGAGGGGCTTTAGACAAGTGCCTATAGGGACAGGCAAGGGAGAATGGCTTTAGGGTGGTAGATTGAGATGAGCTCTTAGGCAGAAGCTCTTCCCTGTGAGGGTGCTGAGGTGCTGGCACAGGGTGCCCAGGGAAGCTGTCGCTGCCCCTGCCCCATCCCTGGCAGTGCTCAAGGCCAGGTTGGACACAGAGGCTTGGAGCAAGCTGTTCCAGTGGAAGGTGTCTCTGCCTGGGGCAGGGGTTGTAAGTGGGTGATCCTTAAAGTCTCTCCAAAACAAACCATTCTAGGATTCTATGATTAATGTATTTATAATTTGTGTGTATCTGTAGACATCTATGCCACCATCAAAGAAGGAAACCTGAAAAACTTCACTTTCACGATAACTTTGGTAATCGTAGCATGTATCTAATGTCAGCATGGACTCTACCTGTGTAGGTCAGAATGTGTGGGGTTATTAGGCTTCAGTTCACTTTATTTTTTAATATATTTTTATATTGAGTTGATTTTGACCTTTTTTATGAGTCTAGGGTTAGTTTGCTAATATGCCTAAAACAAAACTATAACCATTTGAGCTGCTTTTATTAAAATGTCTTCTGAAATTGCACATAATTAGAGTTCACCTTTTCTGTAAAAGTAACTTTGTTTCATCTGTCATGCTAGAGCTTCTAACGCTTTTTACTCTTTTTTTGTTTGATTGGGTTTTTTTTCTTAAAAAAAGGCAGAATATCTGTAGACTGAGGTGCACTTGAGAAGCTCAATTTTAGGACTGTTCAGTTCATTGCTTTTGACTAAACGACAAGGTTTCTGATTACTAGAATAAATATTAGATTGCAGATTAAGATATTCCCCTAGCTAGGAGAGTTTGGGTTAATTTGATGTTGAAAGAGAGCTGACTTTTTTAATATCAGCCTTTGTATATTCTTTTAACCATTACCACTACACACTTCATTTCTTTAGAAGGATCCTGCCTGTGATACTTGCGTACCTAATGTTTTTGGCCACTCTCTTAATACCATATGATCTTTCCTGGCTAATCTGTGAAAGAAGTTGTAATACTTAAAAATACACAAAACAACCAGTTAACATGATTATTAATTGATGACACTTAGGTGTGTTATTTATTTAGTGTATGAATTTCCTCTGTATACCTTCATTCTGATAGATATATAGACATAGGAATGGGAGAAAATATAAACTGCTTTTGGACAAAATAAAACTACTGTTAAGAAACAGAGACCACAAATCTAGTTTTCCCATGAATTAAGAAAATAAATAATTGGCAGTTATACTATGAGCAACTTCAGCCTGGCTTTGTTCTTCATTTTTAGCCCAGTGTAATGAAGATAAATCCACTTTGCTTTTCAAAACCTTCAAAAGCCTTAGAGACCAGTACATATTTCCGTGTATTTTTTTTACCATCCTGTTCATTACTGTGGGAAGCAAATACATAAGCCAAAATCAGCCGCCAATTCTGCACTTTCTGAGAACCCAGGGGGCCTCCATGTGCTTTAAAAATGCATGAGACTTTTTCCACTGAGTCGTTATTAACTGCTATGGGTCACATGGTTTGACATTGTTCCTCAAAGTTTTGCCTTTAAGCCAAATGACCTCCTGATTTCAGTATCGATGCACACTTTCTTCTGGAATATGGGGAAAAAAAAAAAAAAATGACAGTGATGACAAGGTCTATCTGATTTTGAGAGCAGATATTAAACTACCAATCTCACCAAACATGAAAGTGCAAAATTATGTTTGCCCAAATAAGTGTTTATGGTTTATGAAAAAGGAAACTATACGAATATTAGAATTTAAAATCCTATCTCTATAGAAGACTTGTATAGGAGAAAATTAGCTTTGTTGGAAAAAATTCTTTTTCAGTAATCAAATGCTCCAAATTCGTGCTCTGGTCCTACAAATATAGGTACATCGTAAAGCAGGTCAAGACATTATCACTTGTCACCAGCTTTATGGTAATTACATACTTAAGTGATTAATTTTTGGGGTCCAAAATAATAATCTAAAATTTGGATATCTTTCCTATCTTTGTTTTGTGTATTTCATCCATTTTAACCATCTTTTAAATCTGTGCACCAGAGATCTCTGTAATTCATTATAAAGGCTTGGCACACAGCATAATTAAGAGAAATTAAAAAAGCCTGTTACTTTCAAACTTAAAATAAATCCCTTAGCTTTTAAATTATATCATTTAAGTTGGCATTTTTTATTGCTCTTCTAGGAACAAACTTTACCCTTGCAGAACTAGGAATCTGTGAACCTTCTCCCCATCGAAGTGGCTACTGCTCAGACATAGGAATTCTCCATCAAGGCTATTCCTTGAGCACAGGCTCTGATGCTGACTCAGACACAGAGGGAGGAATGTCTCCAGAGCATGCCATCAGGCTGTGGGGAAGAGGGATCAAATCCAGGCGAAGTTCCGGTCTGTCAAGTCGTGAAAACTCAGCTCTCACACTTACCGACTCTGATAATGAAAATAAGTCAGATGAGGAGAACGGTAGGCCTTTTTCTTCAATATATACCTAATGCACGTGTATGAGAATGTGATAATACTTAATAATATATGAGGATTCTTTTAAAGGTGAATTGTTCCCTTTTTTTTCTGAGTTTGACTAAAGCTGCTTTTTAATGTTGGAGGGTTTTTTAGCATTGATATCAGGAAACCCTATTACCTCTATATCATATAATATATATTCTGGTTTGTCTTGCAGTTTACTTTCTATGCAATAATCTTTCACAGATGTATGTGCTCAGAGTACACTAAGTCAAACCTAACAATGAGAAGCAGAAAGAAATTTATCAAGAGAAATAGTTTCATATGTGATTTTTATACACAGCTTGAAGTAATTACAATACTATTAATCTACAATATGCCAGTAGCTGTGACAGTGGTGCTTATTTTGTGTGGTTTTTCATCTGCTGCATTTTTATAAAAGTAAAATTAACTTGCTGTTTGATTATAGGTAAGTACTGTGGGACTGAGGCAAAGCACTTCTGTTTCATGTAATTTAATAAGCTCATAGGAATGAAATTTTAGACAGTGCAGCTATCACTTGTGTTAGAACACCTAGGCATTGGGTGACTCTCCAAGTGGACTCCATGAAGCCATCTGTCCTTTCAGATATATGTCACCCACAGCCATGGTGTTCAAACATTTCAGCTAAAAATTTTTACCTGGGAATTTTCTGTGTTCACGTATTTTTTAATTAAACAGGAAAAATGGTAAAAATGGATTTGCAGGAATTGCACCTCCATCCTTTAGGGTGATGAAGGTGCCGACTTGGCTTAGTTAAAATTTGAAGTGAAGGGTTTGGTACGTGACATTTTGAGAAGATGAAGAGGAATCTCCCTAATGTTATAGCCTCAGAGGAACTGTTCAAGCAGCTGATACAAGCTAATGAAAGCAGCTCTCTACGCATATTACTTGTGATAAAGTTGAATTTGTTACATGTTGAGTGTCTCTCAGAAGACGATTTTTTTTAGATGTTTATTTTAAGCTCCTCCCTGTACTTAATGATAGTTGTCTTGGTTTCAACAAAAGCTCTGAGCTGGGCACTAGAAACACAAGCACCTGTTTGTCAAAGCAAACAAGGCCAAACTGAAGTACAGATTTTACATTGGTAGAAAAAAGTTTAGAAAAATACAATTGATTTTGTTTGTAACAGCAGCCATTATTTGTTGATTTAAATTGAATCTTTAAGTAGTATCACCCCTCCGCAGACATAGCAGGATATTTTTCTTCATCAGAACCAAGGAGGAAATGTGTTTTTACTAATAATGATTTGTACAAAGAATACAGGATTTTAGAAAGAATCAGTGATTAATTGATTTTTTTTTAATAAGAATACAATTCACAGAAGATACGACATGTTCCATTGACTTTTTAGTGTAGTTTTGATAAGGTTACTATGCATAATTTCAAGTAAAAAACCTGACTAAGGGAGTTCTGGCATTATGGAACGAGTGGGATCCATTCTGTAACATGGATTTGCTTCTCTGAAGGTGATTGTCTCCATTTCAGTGGAAGTGATGTGCCACACTTTTTGTCTGAGAAAATTTCATCTCAGGACCTACTTTCATATATACTGTTGCAGAGATTGATAAAAGAATGAGTCTGCTTGCTTGCATTTCATTTTCCTTCTTGTAATAGATGAATTGTTAAGTAATTGGAAATACAGTGCAGTGTGTCCAGTTTGAATAGGTAATTTTTCTAACAATGATGTTAATAAGAGAAAAAATGACATGATCAAACAGCATGCAAGAAACAAACCAGCATCTGGAATTCACTTTTACTTGGAAAGGATTTTGTGGTAAGGGTTTCTGTATGTTTGGTTGGTTTAAAAAAAAAATCATGCAAGTAAGAAGCAACTGTTACATACACAGAGTTTTAGTTTTACTCTCTCACAAATCGTGGTTAGCTCAAAAATCGATGCTTCTTCACATCACTGATTTTATGAAGTTTGGGGATGCATTATCATATAGATTGACAGTTGCCCCACTGGTTCAGCACCACAGTGTGGACACTTACAAAACCATCATTAATTTCTCACGCTTGTGCCAGCAGTGGTTTCCTACATAATAAACACTGTGTCCTTCAGAAGCAGATCAATAACCTGCTAGGTATTCATCTTGAAGGAGAACTAACAAGAATCTATACTTCAAGAGAAATTCACTCTCTGATATGGTTTCAGGTTTGCAGGATACTACATAAAAAAAGACATTTCTTGGCATAAGATGTTATCCATTTCTGCCTAGCAATATCAGAGGGAACTCATGATGCACAGACTACTGAATTTATTTAAAGTACTGTTAAAGTTTTTTTCCCTGATAGTTACAAAACAGTAGTTCAACCTCAAAAGGTGATTTATTTTTTTATATTTCGTTACTATCACAATTTATATCACTGTAATAAAACCAAACCCAAACCTCTCACTTTTCTTGTAATACTAAATCTATTTTCTCACTCTTAGTGCATCTCTAAGTAGCACAGAGGAGGCTTAATTTCTAAAAATTGCTCTAATAATGTGATTTGGTTCCCATTCGAATCCATTCTCAAAGCTCATGACCATTTTCTCACGTCTAGATTTAGTGTGATTTTATTTTATCATAAATTAGAATTCTGTGAACCTTGAAATATTATCAGGTCTGAAATACTTACAGATAAATTGAAATAATGGAAACTCATTTAAATTTAATGTTTTCCTTGGTATATGAAAATTCTTCTTAACAAAACACCTTCTTGGTGATCCAGTTTGAAAAGCAGCACTTTTATTTTCACAATTCTGATTAAGCTATAATTCTTAGAGAATGAGAATGAGAAACAGCTCAAGAGTGTTCACTACTGCCTCGTTCTGGCCATCTCTTCCTTAGACATGGCAATATGAATATGTTACGGCAAGTCTGTCATAAAATTGTTATTCAACATGATGTATTGAGTTGTGAGATTTAAGTAAATAAATCTTTTCATGATACATACAAATATAAAAAGTCAATTAGAAATATAGGTCTTCTCTGATGTCATCTGCCTGCTTCATAGAGGGAATTACTTACAGGCACTCACAAGTACACAGTATAGGGGACAGACAGGAGTTTCTGAATGCTTTTTTTCTTTCCTTCTGTTAAATCCTGTAACTGTTTATTCCAAAACATCATTCAATACTTTTCAAAAGTAGCATTTGTCATCAGTTGACATATGTTCCTTCCTTAGCCTCCAGTATTCCTGTTTCCAGAGTAAAGCTTAGGCACTGATTCTGTTTAGGTAGTTTGGGGTTCTATTATTTTTTCTGCATTACATTAGAGGTGGTTTCTGTTCTAATAATTGAAAGTTTGAATACCAGACAATGGCATTTGTGCATATAATTTGTTGGCGGGGGGGGGAAGGGGATGAGTACCTTTGACCAAGTGCTCTTCCAGAGTTATTTTTCTCTTCTTTTAAAGGAGAGCAGTTGTTCCTTTTTTTTTTTTTTTTTCCTAGTTAAGTTCAAAATTACACTATTCTCACAAATATAGAGACAAGGATGTCGTGTGGGACAGTGTCAAATGCTTTGCACAACTCCAGGCAGATGACATCAACTGCTCTACCCCTTTCCGTCAGTTCCGTAGCCCCATCATAGAAGGCTACCAAATTGGTCAGGCAGGATTTCCCCTTAGTGAAGCCATGCTGGCTGTCACCAAGCACCTTGTTGTTTTTCATGTGCCTTAGCATGCCTTACAGCAGAATCTGCTCCAAGATTTTGCCAGGCACAGAGGTGAGACTGACTGGTCTGTAATTCCCCGGGTCATCCATTTTCCCCTTCTTGAAAATGGGGGTTATATTTCCCTTTTTCCAGTCCTCGGGAACTTCACCTAACTGCCATGATTTTTCGAATATGATGGACAGTGGCTTAGCAACTTCATTTGCCAGCTCCTTCAGGACCCGCAAATGGATCTCATCAGGTCCCATGGACTTGTGCACGTTTGGGTTCTTAAGATAGTCTCGAACCAGATCCTCTCCTACAGTGGGCCTAAGGTCTTCATTCTTGCAGTCTCTTCATCTCCCTTGCAAGACTTGGCTGGTGTGGTCAGAGCCTTTGCCAGTGAAGACTGAGGCAAAGAAGTCATTGAGAACCTCAGCCTTCTCCAAATCCAGGGTAGCATGTTCTCACATTTCCTTCAGGGGAGGACCCACGTTATCCCTAGTCTGTCTTTTGTTTGCTACGTACCTATAGAATCCCTTCCTTTTACCCTTGACATCCTTCAATGTGGGCCTTAGTTTTCCTGACCTGATCCCTAGTTTCCCAATGTCCCTGTACTTTTCCTGTCACCTTCTATAAGCTTCTTTTTTCTAAGTTTCCTCAGCAGCTCCTTATCCATCCAAGGAGGTCTCCTGGCCCTCCTTCTGCACTTCATTCTTGTTGGGATGCAACACTCCTGAGTTTGTAGCAGGTGATCCTTGAATATCATCCAACAGTCTTGGCCCCCCCTGCCCTCTATGGCAATATCCCATGGAACTTTACTGAGCAGGTTCCTGAAGAGGCCAAAGTCTGCTCTCTTGAAACCCAGGGCAGTGAGCTTGCTGCACGCTCTCCTCACTGTCCTGAGGATCTCGAATTCGACCATCTCGTGATCGCTGCATCCAAGGCTGCCCTGGAGCGTAACATTTCCAACGAGCCCTTCCCTGTTGGTGAGCACAAGGTCAAGCATGGCACCTCTCCTTGTCAGTTCTTCTATTACTTGTAGAAGGAAGTTGTCTTCCACACAATAGAAGAACCTCCTGGATTGCTTTTGCTGGGCTATACCATCCCTCCAACAGATATCAGGGTGGTTGAAGTCCATGAGGACAAGGGACTGTGAGCTTGAGGCTGCTCCTAGCTACCTGTAGTGAGCTTCATTCACAGAGACCTTCTGACTGGGGGCATGTAGCAGACCCCCACAGTAATGTCCCTCATTGCAGTTCTCCTTCCTTTGACCCTGACCTTCAAGCTCTCTGTTGGCTCATCACCCATCCCCAGGCAGAGT